CTCCTGCTATCTGTTTTTCATTTATCCACACCAATAAGAGTCTCTCAACATCTTCCATCAATTGCGATCTTTTTTTTCGAAAACACAGTTAAACCCTTTTGGCAAAAAACAGCTTCCTTGATTGTCTTTCTGGTGCCCACAATAGTAGCGATGGTTGATTGGGGTTTCTTGTACAGCTTGACTAGGTCGGCTATACGCACTCCACTTTCATACTTATCAATTATCTCTTTCTTCATCTCTATAGTAATTCTTACCCCTTTTAGGTGTAGGGTTGGCACTAGAAGCTTTCTTGGGGCCCATGGTCACTTATTTCCAGAAACAGCCACCGAAAATACTGTAATAATACGAAATATTCCGAGTGTATGCTTGGATGTTACCGCGGAGGCTGGCTGGTAAACAATGGGACGGAGCGGCACATGTGAGGCTGGCTGAGGGCACATTGGACGCGTCTCGGACGAAAATCGGTATGCGGGTTTTTAATCGGTATGCGGGGCAAAAATTTTGCGATAAAAGTAATCGTTATGCGGAAAAATCGCTATGCGATGCCATCGTTATGCGGGGGTCCACTGTATTTAAGTTTCTTCGTATTTATCACTTGATTTATTCTCTCTGAGAGAGAGGGGGAATCACTCTCCATCAAACCTTGCATATTGAAGGTACTGTTCCTCTTAATATTATCCTTTGGCTCATATAATAGTCAATATTTCATTTGTAAGGTAAGCTAAAAATGCCTTTATATTTTCAGCTGGCCAATTGTTTGAGTAAAACACAACAAACTCTGTGGAATGTGAACACAAATGTATATACTGCAGCTATGAATACAGCAATGGAAGATGAGTTGCATCACATGGAGGAAATGCGGTATATAGAGGACGAAAAGAAAATGTATAGAAGAGAAAGATGTGTAGGGAGAGAGGCCATGTGGAGGAAACAATATATCAAGCACATGTGGAATAGAAGGAAGTATGTGCAGAGGAAGATATGTGAAATAGAAGGAAGGATGCTATGCAGATGAAGATATGTGGAAGGCAAAAAGGACATGCAGAATTCAACATTAACAAGTTAAATTCAGAAATAAATATTATGAGAGGTAAGTTTGCCATGTGAGTGTGGAAAGAATTAGAGGGGTTTGTAAATCAGTCATTAATTCAAAACAACCCAAGAATACATGCCTGGGCTACCTATACACATGATACAAACAGCCATGAGTCATCTATACAAGTAGTGTGGAACACCCACGAGTCAGTTATATCAACCTAACACTAGCCCTCAGGCTAACTATACAAATCATACACAAAACAGCCCTAAGTCAATATGAATCAAATTTAACATAAAACAGCTCAGTCACACTAGTTCAGGGTCTGGTGTACTTTTACATGTAAAGATACAAACTTATAATACACACTCATACATATTTGTGAATCGCTAATTCATTATTTTAACAAGTAGTGTTGTAGCTGGAAAATGGTTTGTACAGAAATGCTAGAACTTTCTCAGTCTCAGAGTGCCTTGGGTAATGGGGATGGTGGAGGAGGGGGGGGGGGTGGCATTCAAATTTAATCAATGGGAGGGTTGCTCCACTGCCCTTCCCTGGCATTGGGACACCCCCTACTCTTTCCGTAAAGTCAGGCAATGTATATTTTTTAATTTTCAGGGGATTGTGAGGGGGTTCAAAATTTAAAGGACGGAGCAAAATATTTGGGGCTTGGAGTGTGTATTATTTTAAATAAAACGAAGTGAAAAACCTACAAGGGTCATACAGTGCGGAGTGTTTAAACTGGGGAAAAGGGGCTGCCTAGGAAGGGATAAGGAGGTTTTTGTGTGAGGGGCTTAAACTTCCAGCGGTGTGCATCCATGTTAAAGGAAGAGTGGAGGAAAAATGGTTTTTAGCTTGATGTCCCTTTGGGTAAAGCAAAGTAATATTTATGAAGATTAAAGGGGAAACCAGTTAGGGGAAAAAAAATCCTGGGGGGGGGGGAGGTACAGTGCCTGCCCCCCCCCCCCCCCCCCTAAAGGGGGGGGATTTTTAAGTTGGGTTTGCATTTTTTTTAATGTGTGTCAGCTGCCTCGGGAAGACAGAAATGGGGGAAGTGATATTTTTTTCTTTTTTGGACCACCCTCCCTTGGTGGGGAAGTGTTAAAAAAATTTTTTTTATTTTTTGGAGAATGAAAAGTTTCGGGTTGTCAGGGAAGGGGTGGGCAGCTTTTTTTCAAATCACAATCCCTCAATAAAGTCGAGGCCCTTCTAGAAGGATGGAATTAAAAGTGTGAAATAACATTTTTGTACATTTGGGGGAAAGCACTAATTACAAGGCCAACAAAACTTGGGAATGGAAAGAATCGGGTCTGATCAAAGGAAGGGCGGGGCAGTTTAAATACATAAAAAAAAATTTAAACCCTCAGAGGGGGGAAGACAATGGCAAGAAAAGACAATAAATTTATTATGATGTATTTGTTTCAGAGTGATGTTACTTTCCTGAAAAAAGAGATCCTATTGTATCAAACCAAGCAACAGGTTTATATATGAGAAGCTTACACACCCATAGGGAATACTTTTACATTCAAAAGAATCATCTAGCAAAAGTGATACTAACACATTTTGAGAGTAATTGCTGGGCCCCGGAGGTGAAAAAATTTTGTAAGCCAGTCAATAAAAGTTTCCATGGATGGGAGGATCATGACTACCCCCCGGGAAAACCCCGTGGTAATAAAGTTAAGCCTCTGTGGTGTGGATATTGCAAGTTTCAGTTTTAAGTGAGAAATAAACTTTTTTAAAATATATATTACAAGGTCCCCCATTTTATGCAGATGCCTTCCCGGGGCACAATAAGAATTTCAATAACTTTGTAAATGTTTTGAGCAGTTTATATACATCACCACATAAAATGAGAGAGGGAAAAGGGTTATATAGTGAATTTTACACCAAAGCTAACATCATAAAATGAGGAGGAAACCTGGCTGTATATATAAAGAAAAAAAAAGTGTGAGTATTTAAAGACAGAAATTTTTTTATTCTTGAACAGTGAGTGCAGTGAACAAAATTAGGTAATGAAGGAATAACAGAAAAGTTAAATTTATGGGAAGTGCAAAACTCATAGGGGTCATCCAGCACCTGGGGACTGGGAGGTATAGGTTGGCCATCAGTAATCTGGCACTAATTTTGAATTTCCAGGGTTGCCACACAAACCTGCCGCTACTGTCGGGTGGCGCTACTTGCCACATAAGCAATTCCAATTTCTTTTTCTCCATTTATTGTTATAACCTGTTTACTTTTAGAAATGGTTCCAACGAATAAAAGAAATGCTTCTCTTTCTGTAAAGCACATGCACCGTATATTGTCCATAAAAGATAAGGTGGCTTTGAAGCCACTGTCAGTCCCCATGAGCTCAGCTCACTCAAATAAGCTGTGACTAGTAAATTTGGGACTACATATGAAAGAATAGGTCTGTAAAGTAAAAGGACCCAAGTGCAACTAATGTGACATTTTTATTGTGGCAACGTTTCGCTCTCCAGGAGCTTTGTCAAGCCGTTACAAACAGTACATGGACACAGAGGGTATTTATAGGCTCAGAGTGAGGTGCAATACTAGTGGTAGTAGTAGAACTTATATCACTAGTATTGCACCTCACTCTGAGCCTATACATACCCTCTGTGTCCATGTACTGTTTGTAACAGCTTGACAAAGCTCCTGGAGAGCGAAACGTTGCCACAATAAAAGTCACATTAGTTGCACTTGGGTCCTTTTACATTACATATTGTCAGTAATTCTACCAACATTATTACAAATGTCTGTGTGGTAAGTGTGCACTATATAAAAAAATCCTGCAGCACACGGTGAATAATGAGAAAACACTGTGACCTTGTTTTTGGTGTAAAAGTGATTTTGCAGTGTATTTTCATATGGTTTCTATGGTTGTATTCTCGTTTTTTTTGGTCTCGTTTGATAGGATGGAAAATACATTATAGAGTTCGTTGGTTTCACGATGGAAAGTATCTTGAAATTGAGCTCAAAGTAGTGGAAATGTTCAAAAGCAAAAGAATGACGTCGCCATCTAATACATTTCCAACTGGTTGGTCTAATACATAGTCGCAAATGGGTAGACAGTATTTATACAATAATGCAGTAGTCTAACAGTAAATCTTCTATTTTTTTTGGTGTGAATAAAAATTCAAAATGGAAAGTAAGTGTAATAAAAGAGTGGTCTGGAGATGTGACTAATGAACAGAGAAAGTGTTATTTTAGTGCTAGGAATTTCTGGACTCAATTTTGAAACTGGTATCTCTTGAAATTAGACAAATTAATGATTTCTGGCACTTCATTCGGTAGCTGATATAGGTAAATGGGCAGTTTCTTGTACTCAATCGACAGAATAGAAGGAATACTAGCAAAACAGATATGAGTTTGGTAGAGTGGCACAACGGAATGGGGCAAAATCGCCAATGTGTAAATATCCCCGATCGGTTTACGTGTATTCTAACCTCACCACTCTGTAATCTGCAAAATCATTAATCCAGCACCCTACAGGTCCCGGTTATGTTAAATTAGTGATGGTCGACCTGTAATTGGGTGTGATTCAATGAAGGGGAGGTCGTCAAATTCCCCACATCATAAGCCTTTCACCATTATTATGGGATAAATTGCACAGTATTAAAGCAGAAGAAAATAGGTTATATACATAGGCAAGGCTTAAATCTAATGATCATGGAGCTCCTGCGGAATGAGAGATAATTGGCTTTAATCCGAATTAAGAGGTAACAGACAAGAGAATGACACTTATGAAAATAAATATAATAAATGGATTGAAAAAGAAAAATTAGCCAATAGCAAGAGAAGAAGTAATCACAAGAGCTGATGATAAATAAATTAACTCGCAAAGTCCCCCCTAGGCGTCTGGTCTCTCACATGACTCCTGAAGCTAAATCTGTGTGCTTATTCATTTAAAATATATTTTTATACTTGTTTTAGTAGAGGTATTTGTAACAGAAAAATAAATTAAGAGTAAAAGTTATCCAAAGTTTTATTGCACCCTTAATGTTTTTATTTTACAGATTATGCTTATAAAATGGATGATTACTGCAGTAGGGCCCCAGTATAAGTTAATGTATTTCTAACAATCTTAAGTGTTATGATAAAGGTACATTCCTAAGTTATAATTAATAATATTCAGTCCTGCTCTTTTCACTTAGAAATATAAGTTACCTTCTCTAAGTGAATTTGCTATAATTAAATGTCCTTTTTCTATTCATAATTCTGTTGTGTGTGTGATTGGCTTGTGAAAAGCTTACTTAGAGCAGATGCCTAGGACCTGGAACATGTAGTATACAATAAGGGATGCTTGTAAACATTATCAGTTACTTAAAACAAAAGAGTACATGAGCAGCAGCTGGATGGGGAGGGATTCAGTAGGAAGAGAATAAAAGGGTGGAATAGTAGTAGCAAGCATAATTGTGCGAAGGGCTTGGGCATCCAACATGTTACATAGGAGTTGAACCTCACCCACTGAACATGTCTACTACATGGGAACAGCTAGGCTTTTATCACAGAACCAACCATTGTAATTATTTAATTCTTAACCAATCTCTACGAATAAGACAATCTCCAAACATACAGTAAAAAAATATATTTATACTATAATACAGCCACAATAAATCTATGGGTCTTGACCAGCCTCTACCACATGTGAACTTTTTATACACATGCATGAGCATGACTGCATTTGGTAAAACTCGAGAAAAGAATTCAACCTCAAAAACCGCAAACATTAAATCTACGATTCTTGACCAAACAAATGCAAGTTCCCTATACATACATAAAGCATTAGTGAATTTGATAAAATAAATATTTAAAATGATTTGTCTGAATATTTTCTATCAATATTATTACATATCAGTGTTAAGTAGAGTCATCAGTTCGTTCCAAAGTGGTAAGGTCATAAGTGTGACATTAAGATTTGGAACATCACAAGTTATGGTGCTGGCAGCATTAGAAATAAGTGTGGGCTCGTCTGTCATAACACAATGTGATATTCTATGACCTAATATGTCCCCATACTAAAGGATTAGTAGTAAATAGGTACAATATTGCAAAATGCTGATTTAATGACCATGGCTCAATTGAAAGCTAATGAAAATGTGGAGAGGGGGGGGGGCCTCCTGTAGTATAAGAAAGAGCAAATCTTTTTAAATGTCTTAAATTTGCTGATGCCATCCTGGCTGAAAATACAACTCTCCTATTGATCTTCATGTCCACTGGGTACAGTTCTTCACATTCACAATTCATGTTAAATTTGCATTAGGGTATACAAGAAACTTCTATATTAGTATACAGTGGACCCCCGCCTTACAATATTAATCCATTCCTGAGAGCTCATCGTAAGGCGAATTAATTTTCCCAATAAGAAATCAAATTAATCCGTGCAAGACACCCAAAAGTTTGAAAAAAAAAAAAAAATTACCACATGAAATATTAATTTTAATACACAAACTTAAGAAGACTTGCACAATTAATACTCCACTAAGAATAGAATACGTAACACTTACCTTTATTGAAGATCTGGTGATGATTGATGGGATGGGAGTGTGTGAAAGTTGTTATTGTTTAGAAGGGGAATCCCCCTCCATTAGGACTTGAGGTATCAAGTCCTTTTCCGGGGTTACTTCCCTTCTTCTTTTAATGCTACTAGGACCAGCTTGAGAGTCACTGGACCTCTGTAATTCCCGTTCCATTAAGATTTGCCTAAAATGGGCCACAACGTTGTCACTGTAATAGTCACCAGCATGGCTTGCAATAGCTGTGTTAGGGTGATTTTCATCTATAAAGGTTTGCAGTTCAACCCACTTTCCACACATTTCCTTAATCTTTGAAGTAGGCACAACTGGCATAGGCTTCTCAGGGTTAGCCCCAAACCCTTCAAAATCTTTCTTTATTTCCATACTAATTCTCACCCTTTTTACCACAGGGTTGGCACTAGAAGCTTTATTGGGGCCCATGGTGACTTATTTTGCAGTTACAAGCACAAAAAACACTGGGATAAGGTGAAATGTACCGAATGTATGCGACAGCACTGGCTGGCTTGTAAACACTTGTGCTGAGGCCACACATGGGACACGTCCCAGACGAATCGCGTGAGGCGAGGCAAAATTTTTGCATTCAAATGTATCGTATGGCGGATTTAACGTAACGCGATGCCATCGTAAGGCGGGGGTCCACTGTATTTACTCTTTTAAGCCGTAAACAGACTTATTCACTGCCTATAAAAAATATATTATATATATACAGTGGAAGAGTAAAAAGACATTAACCAGATTATATTAATGTCATGACTGATACCAACACTTTGTAATCACTATATTGGTGAGAAAATGTTAATGTAAAAAGAAAAATTCATGTATAAATCATATGCATATCTTTTAAATAATAACTAAAATTGAAAAACAATAATTCTGTACATACTACATGCAATACAAACTTATACAGTATTGTAAAGTGTTATCTTCATTAGGTTTTGGAAAATGCTGCTCAGATAGACTATTTTACAGTTTTAGAATTAGAGACTGCATATACCTTTGGTTTAAGTAAAGAAAAACTGTTTCTTAGGGAATCTTTGAGTTTCTCAAGCAACTCAGAGATCTGAGAACTTCTCATTTTTGTGAGTACTCTTACATATATATGGGAGGTGCCTACAGTCACATCAGTTGAATTCTGACTCTTCTTGTACAAGTGCAGCTATTTCATGCAGAATGAGAGAAATTTTTGTAATTATTTCTTTTATTCTGTACATGGAAGTAAGACTCATTTTTTCACATTGAAAAATATAATGCACAAATATTTCCTATATTGTCATTTATATAATTATAATACTAGAAAATTTTCTTACTGAACAGCAAGTCAAATATATTTGTAAAAAATTGTTTAACCTCTATGTAAAGATACCTTTTCAAGTACATGGAATCATCAATATTGCCAATTTAAGTCAACTAAACTTTATATCACTGTACCGTAAAATGAGCTGCACAAGTTTTGAAAATTGGTTGGGTTGGAGTTTCACAAAACTTTCTAATACATATTTTGTCAATGTCAAAGAATACTTACCTTGTAAAGTACGAAAAAATGGATCTTAAAATAAGCACTGCCTGTCAAACAGTAGGGCTGTTTAGTGCTAAAATCCAGGCTCCCCACTCTACCTAGTTTACCATTTCTAAACTAGTTGCCATTGGTGAACCATGAGAGCATATTGTACTACTAAGCAACTCAGGTCCTGTCAACCAGATAGGTATAGTTTACAAGCTTGCACTACCCATTCTTTTGCAGTAAAATCTGATTTGCAAAGGGGAGACAGGAAGTGGGATCACGGGGCCAATTGTTTAAAAGAAAAAATCCTACATCAAAGGTAAATATTCTATGCTTTCAGGAATTTTTAGTAATAATGGCAAAATCAAATTGGTCAGTAACTGAGCTGAAGTTCACAAAATATTTTGCACTGAAGGACCCACATAGTTTAGTACTTTGCAAAAAGCATCACCAGCACAAGCAATATAGATGCAATTAGCACACTGTTCCAAGGTAATAAGGAACCTGCAGCTGTTAAATGAATAATTCATTCCATTTTTAATGTCAATGTGTCTAAGCATGAAGAGGCTTTGATATACAGTACATTTATATAACTGTGGTGGTGGCGGCACTGCCATTATGACACAACCAGCAGCTGACAAGACTACTGGTATGGTGTAGGTAAAAAGACATGTATACACAAATCAAAATATTAATATATGTCTTCAGTTCTACTTTTCCTTAATGTCTTGATCAGTACCACTTGTCTAAAAGTATTGCTGCAAATATACTATAGGTAGCCACTGAAATATAACACCACCATGTGTTTGTTGGTGTTTAAATATATCACAGCTAGCCTTCTATATACAGTAAAACTTTACAAAAGTGTATAAGCTGATGTGCCAATTTTTATTATATGTACCATAGGGGATCATAGTGACTGGTGAATGAAAGCCAATCAGGTTTGAGAGACAGGGAAGAGTGGTTCCAATTCCTTGAATTAAGGGCTCATTCCCTAGCTAATGTGCTACAGCTTTGTGGAAGGCTCTTCAAGACTGAGTACCTTAATACCAGTGAGAAGCTCTTGATCCAAGGCATAGGAACTATCATCTTCAGATCAAACTTAATTATCTCCCACTCTACAGCATCTTATGACCCCTTAAAAGCTTAGCACTTCACCATGAATCATTTTTTTTTTTTTAACAAGTCGGCCATCTCCCACCAAGGCAGGGTGACCCAAAAAAAAAATACTTTCATCATCATTCAACACTTTCACTTCACTCACACATAATCACTGTTTTTGCAGAGGTGCTCAGAACACAACAGTTTAGAAGCATATACGTATAAAGATACACAACATATCCCCCCGAACTCCATCTTTAGAGTGCAGGCATTGTACTTCCCATTTCCAGGACTCAAGTCCGGCTATATAAAAATAACCATGAATAATAACTATAGGAATATAAAACTGTGTCAAAGAACATAGCAGGATTTACAATTGTTTTTACACTATCATTTTAAATGCTAAATCTATATAATTAATAGGTACCTTCGCATATGAAGTCAAGAAGCAAACAAATATATATTTATGTACTATAATGGTTACAAGTTATGTATAACGGCCATTTCTGGAAGATTTATGCAGTACTTGATAAACAAAGGCAGTTACATAATCATACAAGACTCCTGAGTATGATAAACCTCCCTTGTATACTCAGTGAGGTTCAGTATTTTGCTTCTTCACCAGAAGGCAAGTTTCATTTGTTCAGGGCTTCGGTGATCATTGAGGAGTGTACAAATCTAGGATGGATCACCACATGTTGGTTTTTATATTTCTATATTGTCTTTATAGCAGGTCAATTGATTGATATATGAAGCCAAGGTAAGGTAGCTTTATTCACTTTACTTGTGGTGAAAAGCTTCCAGAATGTCTTTCTCAGTAACACAGCCAGGTTCTAAAGTTAGGGGGGAATGAGCACATAAAAAAAAAATGCCATGACACTTGCCAAATAACTTTAAATTCATTAGACAAATCAAAACACTGGAAAGTTGGTGGAATAGAGTAACAAGTTCAGAAATTTCTTCCAAGGCCATGCAATCAAAAAGTAAGAGGGCTTACTGTAGTATGATGACCCATCCTAAGTTTATATATTCCTCAATGGTCACTAAAGTCATGAACAAATATAACTCGACTCCTGGTGGTGCCACTTCAAAGGAAGTCTGCCAATTCCTGTAAATACATTAACACATGACAGCCAGTTGCACAGTAATAAAAACCAAGGGCAGACACAACAAAACCTAAATTAACTAAATCAAAATTAGAAACAAGAATTTCATATGCAGGAGTCAATAATGTTTTTGCACATACCTCTATATTTACCACATACTCCATGTATCTCATGCAGATGGCTGTGGCAAATTATATGCATTCATTGTATACCAAACAACCCTGCGGTATAATACTAAGCATGGGAGACAATAGAAATTTATAGTGGAGACAGCCTAAGCAGAGCCATAAAACACCAAATTCTTAATAGTGTAACTCAGCCTAGGAAGCTCAATATCCATGATCCTCAAGGATCATTACTACCAGTGAGGGACTCTTGATGCTGGAAACTGGACCTGTTCTTCCCATCCTTGAGCCTAATTGCCTCCCATTTTTCCAGGTTCTGTATGACCTTTATAAATTTAGTGCTTCCCCTAAATATAATAAGAATCAGCCATATCCATGGCTGTGAACAAGCCTAGCTTTTTACTATTTTAATCAGGGGAAAGCACTAAACTGTGGGGGTCATCTGGCACTTAGGAGGACAAGATCAGTTCCTTGAATCAAGAGCCGCTCACCAGCATCAAAGCACCTCCCTCGAGGAGTAACAAGAATAAACGAGGCTTCACAAATGTCAAATCAATCTGGGAAAAAATTGAGACTAATACTAAATTCTCACTGGATTTCTAGCACAGGCAAGAAACAAGCAAATGTATAGCATGGGCCTACTAGTCAACGAAGGTTGCATGGTATCAGGAATTATGCAACTTTTGGCTGCTTAATACAGTATTATGTAATCTGAGGGTTCACCACTGACAACTAGTCCAGGTGAGGAGTAAACACTGTTAACAGCAGTACTAGGTGAACCAAGAGTTATGCAACTCTAGTTAGCACAGAATGAAGATTTTACATCACATTCACCTGATACTCAGAGAATATGCAAAATGAACTAGTATATAATTATTTCATGAGAATGTTTTTTTTGGGTGTGTGAAGTCCGGTAACACTGGAAAGTAACTTAAATGCACATCTGTATAATTACAGAAAAATAATAAATAAAATAAATACCAAGCACAATTTTACTTTGTAAATATTGTACTCTTAATTCTTAGAAATAAAAGTAACCTGAATTCATTTCTCAAAATGCTTTTCTAATGAAGCAACTTCATATCACATAATTTTTTTTTTTTTGCATGACAATGAAAACCACCGACAAAACAATTAAATGTGAAAAGCATTTAGATATACCTATCAGAAAAAAAGCAAATGCAGCATTACAAACCATCAAACTGAGTAAACACTGACTGGTCAGTATTTGCATTTAAACTTCATAAAAGGTCATTATTTTGCACCCAGCTTCAACTTTAGTTTACGAAGGAATAAATGAACAAGTTTCTTCACACTATACAGGTGGTATCGGTGAAGGTGCTAGGGTACAAGACACTGGACGGACACTGTCACAACTCGCATTACTTAAAAATATAAAATGTTTTAAATTACACATTGAACTAGAGGTGAACAGAGCAAAAACCTGCTTTATTGAAGCCTTCAACTTAAGAAGTGTGATGACATGAAGTCCTGTAGAGCCCTGAGACATGCATAATGTTCAGTGTAACCACCAGCAATGGCCTGAGGAGAAGCCCTGCGCACGTGATTCAAATACCCGCCACTCTCCAGTTCTTCCCAAGTTGGCACAGGTAAGGAAGCTGAGAGCTTAGGAGGCTCATACTTGTATGGTTTCTCCTGTAATGAAATTAAACATACAAATAATCATGCTCTACAAAAACAATACTAATAAAATTACATTAACCCTTTCAGGGTCGGTGCAGTACTTCGATGCGTAAATTCTAGTGCCTTCAAATTGAGTGGAAGAAAGCTGGTAGGCCTACATATGAAAGAATGGGTCTGCATGGTCAGTGTGCGCAGTATAAAAAAAAATCCTGCAGCACGCAGTGCATAGAGAGAAAAAAAAACTCAGACCATGTTTTTGGTTTAAAACAGCGACTTTGCAGTGAATTTTCATATGGTATTTATGATTGTTTTCTTGGTCTCATTTGATAGAATGGAAGATATATTACAGAAATAGAAATGATTCTGATTGGTTTCATGATGAAAAGTACCTTGAAATTGAGCTCATAATAAGAGAAATGTTTGATTTTTGCCAATGTTCATGAGTATACAAATCACACCACACGTCCAATACACGTCAACTGGCGAGTCTTATATTATTTCACAAGTACGCTGATACCATTTTTACAACGATGCAGTAGTATGCATAACAGTAAATATTCTATTTTTTGTGAGAATAAAAATTCAAAATGGAAAGCAATATAAGAGGGGCCTGGAGATGCGACTAATGAACGGAGAAAATGTTATTTTAATTTTAGTGCCAGGAATGTCTTGTTTATTCTGGACCCTATTCTGAAATTGGCATCTTTTGAAATTTGTGTGAAATTGGCCAAATTGCCAATTTTTGACCACTTCATCTGGTAGTTGAAATTGGTAAATGGGCAATTTCTTGTACTCATTTGATAGAACAAATGGAGTTCTAGCGAAACAGCTATGATAGTCAGCTGGAACATTGGAAATGGGCAAAAGTGAGCGAAATTGCCAATGCGTAAATATCATTGAAACCGCTAACTTTGCGAGAGCATAATTCTGTAAGTTTTCTATCAAATTTCATATACAGTGGACCCCCGCTTAACGATCACCTCCAAATGCGACCAATTATGTAAGTGCATTTGTACGTGTATGTTTGGGGGTCTGAAATGGACTAATCTACTTCACAATATTCCTTATGGGAACAAATTCGGTCAGTACTGGCACCTGAACATACTTCTGGAATGAAAAAATATCGTTAACCAGGGGTCCACTGTACTTGTGTCATTATCATCAGGAAAAGATTCTCTATTATTTCATAATTTTTTTTTTTTTTTTTTTTTTTTTGGACCCTGAGAATGAGTTCAGGATTGGGGGTCTCAACCCTGAAAGGGTTAAAATAAAAATTTAAACCAGTTATATAATGATAAAGTTTATCTCTCATTAGATTATGACAGCAGCCATTATGACGACTCGAGCAAAACTAATGTCTAGTTGGTGTTCGTAGTTATCTGTGCCCCAACTGGCACCTGGTCCTAGCCCAGGGATGGGTTGTGGAGCAGACAAATTCTCAAAACCCATCAAAGGTACTTTTAAAGAAAAACTTTATCTACATTAATTGTAATTATAATTATTTTGGGCACAAAGAATATTATTTTATTAACACATCAGCTCTTTCCCACCAAGGCAGGGTGGCCCGAAAAAGAAAAACTTTCATCATCATTCACTCCATCACTGTCTTGCCAGAGGCATGTTTACACTACAGTTATGAAACTGCAACATTAACACCCTTCCTTCAAGAGTGCCGGCACTGTACTTCCCATCTCTAGGAATCAAGTCCGGCCTGCCAGTTTCCCTGAATCCCTTCATAAATTTTACCTTGCTTACACTCCAACAGAACATCAAGTCCCAAAAACCATTTGCTCCTATCTAACATGTTCACATACGCTTGCTAGAAGTCCAAGCCCCTCACACACACAACCTCCCTCCAACCTTTCCAAGGCTGACCCCTACCCCGCTTTCCCTCCACTACAGATTTATACACTCTCGAAGTCATTCACTTTCATTCCAATCTCTCTACATGTCCAAACCATCTCAATAACAGCTCCTCAGTTCCTCTGAATAACAGTTTTCATAATCCTGCACCTCCTCCTAATCTCCAAACTACGGATTCTCTGCATTATATTCACATGACATCTCCACTGCCTCCAGCCTTCTCCTTGTTGCAACATTCACCACCCATGCCTCACACCCACAAAAGAGGTTAATTTTTCTTTTTTTCAACACATCAGTTGTCTCCCACTGAGGCAGGGTGCCCCAAAAAGAAAATACTTTCATCATCATTCAACACTTTCACCTCCTCATACATAATCAATGTCTTTGCAGAGGCGCTCAGGTACAACAGTTAAGATGTCCCTCAATCTGCCAATATCTTAAACCCCTCCCCTTTGAAGTGCAGGCATTGTACTTCCCATTTCCAGGACTCAAGTCCGGCTAACCGGTTTTCCTGAATCCCTTCACAAAATATTACCCTAAGTGCTAAACCAACAAGGGTCATACAGTTATTTATTTATTTTTTTATTATCACACTGGCCGATTCCCACCAAGGCAGGGTGGCCCGAAAAAGAAAAACTTTCACCATCATTCACTCCATCACTGTCTTGCCAGAAGGGTGCTTTACACTACAGTTTTTAAACTGCAACATTAACACCCCTCCTCAGAGTGCAGGCACTGTACTTCCCATCTCCAGGACTCAAGTCCGGCCTGCTGGTTTCCCTGAACCCCTTCATAAATGTTACTTTGTTCACACTCCAACAGCACATCAAGTATTAAAAACCATTCGTCTCCATTCACTCCTATCAAACACGCTCACGCACGCCTGCTGGAAGTCCAAGCCCCTCGCACACAAAACCTCCTTTACCCCCTCCCTCCAACCCTTCCTAGGCCGACCCCTACCCCGCCTTCCTTCCACTACAGACTGATACACACTTGAAGTCATTCTGTTTTGCTCCATTCTCTCTACATGTCCGAACCACCTCAACAACCCTTCCTCAGCCCTCTGGACAACAGTTTTGGTAATCCCGCACCTCCTCCTAACTTCGAAACTACGAATTCTCTGCATTATATTCACACCACACATTGCCCTCAGACATGACATCTCCACTGCCTCCAGCCTTCTCCTCGCTGCAACATTCATCACCCATGCTTCACACCCATATAAGAGTGTTGGTAAAACTATACTCTCATACATTCCCCTCTTTGCCTCCAAGGACAAAGTTCTTTGTCTCCACAGACTCCTAAGTGCACCACTCACCCTTTTCCCCTCATCAATTCTATGATTCACCTCATCCTTCATAGACTCATCTGCTGACACGTCCACTCCCAAATATCTGAATACATTCACCTCCTCCATACTCTCTCCCTCCAATCTGATATCCAATCTTTCATCACCTAATATTTTTGTTATCCTCATAACCTTACTCTTTCCTGTATTCACTTTTAATTTTCTTCTTTTGCACACCCTACCAAATTCATCCACCAATCTCTGCAACTTCTCTTCAGAATCATCAGCAAAGAGCAACTGTGACAACTCCCACTTTATGTGTGATTCCTTATCTTTTAACTCCACGCCTCTTGTCAAGACCCTCGCATTTACTTCTCTTACAACCCCATCTATAAATATATTAAACAACCACGGTGACATCACACATCCCTGTCTAAGGCCTACTTTTACTGGGAAATAATTTCCCTCTTTCCTATGTACTCTAACTTGAGCCTCACTATCCTCATAAAACTCTTCACTGCTTTCAGTAACCTACCTCCTACACCATACACCTGCAACATCTGCCACATTGCCCCCCTATCCACCCTGTCATACGCCTTTTCCAAATCCATAAATGCCACAAAGACCTCTTTAGCCTTATCTAAATACTGTTCACTTATATGTTTCACTGTAAACACCTGGTCCACACACCCCCTACCTTTCCTAAAGCCTCCTTGTTCATCTGCTATCCTATTCTCAGTCTTACTTTTAATTCTTTCAATAATAACTCTACCATACACTTTACCAGGTATACTCAACAGACTTATCCCCCTATAATTTTTGCACTCTCTTTTGTCCCCTTTGCCTTTATACAAAGGAACTATGCATGCTCTCTGCCAATCCCTAGGTACCTTACCCTCTTCCATACATTTATTAAATAATTGCACCAACCACTCCAAAACTATATCCCCACCTGCTTTTAAACATTTCTATCTTTATCCCATCAATCCCGGCTGCCTTACCCCCTTTCATTTTACCTACTGCCTCACGAACTTCCCCCACACTCACAAATGGCTCTTCTTCACTCCTACAAGATGTTATTCCTCCTTGCCCTATACACGAAATCACAGCTTCCCTATCTTCATCAACATTTAACAATTCCTCAAAATATTCCCTCCATCTTCCCAATACCTCTAACTCTCCATTTAATAACTCTCCTCTCCTATTTTTAACTGACAAATCCATTTGTTCTCTAGGCTTCCTTAACTTGTTAATCTCACTCCAAAACTTTTTCTTATTTTCAACAAAATTTGTTGATAACATCTCACCCACTCTCTCATTTGCTCTCTTTTTACATTGCTTCACCACTCTCTTAACCTCTCTCTTTTTCTCCATATACTCTTCCCTCCTTGCATCACTTCTACTTTGTAAAAACTCTCATATGCTAACTTTTTCTCCCTTACTACTCTTTTTACATCATCATTCCACCAATCGCTCCTCTTCCCTCCCGCACCCACTTTCCTGTAACCACAAACTTCTGCTGAACACTCTAACACTACATTTTTAAACCTACCCCATAGCTCTTCGACCCCATTGCCTATGCTCTCATTAGCCCACCTATCCTCCAATAGCTGTTTATATCTTTCCCTAACTGCCTCCTCTTTTAGTTTATAAACCTTCACCTCTCTCTTCCCTGATGCTTCTATTCTCCTTGTATCCCATCTACCTTTTACTCTCAGTGTAGCTACAACTAGAAAGTGATCTGATATATCTGTGACCCCTCTATAAACATGTACATCCTGAAGTCTACTCAACAGTCTTTTATCTACCAATACATAATCCAACAAACTACTGTCATTTCGCCCTACATCATATCTTGTATACTTATTTATCCTCTTTTTCTTAAAATATGTATTACCTATAACTAAACCCCTTTCTATACAAAGTTCATACAGTTATAATGTTAAAAACTTGCTAGGATTTGATGAAAAATATTTATCTTGACTACCACCATCTTAAAACTTTCCATAAACAACCCGCTCTAAGCTTAATGACTTAAGAACGATTTTTCTCGGATTACTAACTGAGCGGATTAGTAATCCGAGATAACTCAGGAAGACTACTATATCTGGCTTACTACCACTGCGGTCCCTTGATTCTCTTTACCTGTGACCAACAAGTTGGCTAATACCCAGGTACCAACTTTGCTGCTAGGTGAACATGGGCAACAGATGTAAGAAAACATGCCCAAAATTTTCCACTCATGATAGGCTCAAACCTGGATTCCTTTGATTTGAGTTGAAGGCACTACCACTTGAGCCACTTTCTTTACTTTATTATATAACAATTTTAGAATTATATTTTCATATAGTCGGACTTGAGTCCTGGAAATGGGAAGTACAATGCCTGCACTTTAAAGGAGGGGTTTGGGATATTGGCAGGTTGGAGGGATATGTTGTGTATCTTTATATGTGTATGCTTCTAGACTGTTGTATTCTGAGCACCTCTGCAAAAACAGTGATAATGTGTGAGTGTGGTCACCCTGCCTCGGCGGGAGACGGCCGACTTGTTGAAAAAAAACAAAAAAAATTTAGAATACACAGAAAGTGTTCCTTTGTTTTTAAAAAAATTTAAGCATCACATTTTATATTTAATTTCTTATAAAGTGGACCAGTAAGCCAGTAGAAGGCCTTGATCAAGTGATTGAAATCCCACTGAGGGAATTCATCATAAGACTAAGACCCATGTAAAGAAATTTTTTTTCTCATTTCTCAAGACAAACAAAATACCACTCTACAGAGAATAAAAAATCACAATATCATGGATAGAAAAATTCACAAAATAATCCACACTTAGAAGAGGAAACTTATGACAACATTCCATTCCATCCTGAACCACTGTCAAGTTGAGACACGACAATGGTTCAGGATGAACCAAAACTTCATCACAAGTTCCTTCTCCTGAGTGCGAACTACAGTGGACCCCCGCTTAACGATCACCTCCAAATGCGACCAATTATGTAAGTGTATTTATGTAAGTGCGTTTGTACGTGTATGTTTGGGGGTCTGAAATGGACTAATCTACTTCACAATATTCCTTATGGGAAAAAATTCGGTCAGTACTGGCACCTGAACATACTACTGGAATGAAAAAAGTTCGTTAACCGGGGGTCCACTGTATTTGTAAAGACCATTCCCATGTGATGCTTACCGCTACGACCTGAACGGGGGCACTGCCCAGCCCTGCAAACCCAATCTTAACACCTGATGAGAATTCTTTGAGATTGGCCTGGGCCATGGCTATTTCTAGCTCTTTCTTCTTCTGGTTTTCTCGCTGTTGTTCTTCCTTGAGGCGCTCGGCATGAGACTGAACGATGAGAGAAGCATCTCCCTCAGAGGCCATCAGATCCTGGAAGAATTTACTAAGTGCAGTTTACATAAAAAATAAAATAAACATCAACTTTAACTTAACCCTTAAACTGTCCAATCGTAGATACTATACGTTTGCTAGCGTAGCACTCCAAACGTAGATCTACGTTTTTTTTTTTACATTGTTGCTTATGGAGATCTACGTTTTGACAGTTTAAGGGTTAAATAATCTAACATAGTGTATTAAGGTAATTAAGGTAACCCTAACCTGGTGGGTAATCACTGAAGTAAAAAAAAAAATTAAGGTTAATAATTACATTTAAAGGTTATTAACAGAGGTATTACTTTGTTATAAATGACAGTCTAAAAGACAGAAATGTAATCTAAAATTTTAAAATGTTAATAAATAAACTGATTATATCAAAATTATTACATACAGAAAACCTTTGATATAACAGACTAACGGGGAGGATTGTCCGAGTATCCATTAAATCATAGCAATAAAAGCACATAAGTACTCCACTGTGTATCTAACATAGCAATATATACACAATTTACAGATACACTGCAATAAACATTGAGAACAAAGGAGACAAAAGAACAATTTGGATTTGGACCATCATATCAAGAAGTCTGTTATATCAAGGCCTGGTAAACTAAGGGTTCACTGTATTTTACACTCACAAGGAAATTACTGTACCTTTATAAGAGACGTCTTCTGCCGTTCACGGCTTAATTTTGACTTCTCCATTTCTTCTCTTTGTAATCTCTGTCTCTCTATGCTCCTTATCATCTCCGCATCCAAATATCTATCTATCTCTTCCTGCTCTCGACTCCTGAAACATTGAATAAATTTACTGCAGTAACTGCCTAAACTCTAAGCATATTTCCTTAGTTATTTTCACATACACAATCAAGTCTTCAAAGAACCTTCTACATACACCTCGGGCCTTGTACGTACTATTTTAATTTTTGATTAGCATGCAACCCTTCTCCATTGAAAAGATGATATGGTAATGATTGATGACGATGCCGACACCAACGATAATGAACAAAATACAGTACAGTGGACCCCGCCTTACGATATTAATCCGTTCCTGAGAGCTCATCGTTAGCCGAATTAATTTTCCCCATAAGAAATAATGGAAATCAAATTAATCCGTTCCTGACGCCCCAAAGTACGAAAAAAAAAAAAATTTACATAAAAAATTAATTTTAATACACACAAACTGAAGAAGACATGCACAATTACTACTCTACTAAGACTAGAATACATGACACTTACCTTTATTGAAGATCTGGTGATGATTGATGGGATGGGAGGAGGGGAGTGTGTGGAAGTTATTGTTTAGAAGGGGAATCCCCCTTCCATTAGGATTTGAGGTAGCAAGTCCTTTTCTCAGGGTTACTTCCCTTCTTCTTTTAATGCCACTAGGACCAGCTTGAGAGTCACTGGACCTCTGTCGCACAACAAATCTGTCCATAGAGCTCTGTACCTCCCGTTCCTTTAAGACTTTCCTAAAATGGGCCATAACATTGTCATTGTACAGGTTGCCAACACAGCTTGGTGGCCTGGTGGTTAACGCTCTCGCTTCACACGGTGAGGGCCTGGGTTCGATTCCCAGCCAGAGTAGAAACATTGGACGTGTTTCTTTCAACCTGTTGTCTATGTTCCCCATCAGTAAAATGGGTACCTGGGTGTTAGTCGACTGGTGTGGGTCGCATCCTGGGACACTGACCTAAGGAGGCCTGGTCACAGACCGGGCCGCGGGGGCGTTGACCCCCGGAACTCTCTCCAGGTAAACTCCAGGCTTGCAGTAGCTGTGTCAGGGTGATTTTCATTCGTAAAAGTTTGCAGTTCAACCCACTTTGCACACATTTCCTTAATCTCTTTTTTCAATTCCATACTAATTCTTGCCCTTTTTACCACAGGGATGGCACTAGAAGCTTTCTTGGGATTCATGGTGACTTATTTTGCAGTTACAAGCACTAAAAACACTGGGATAAGGTGAAATGTACCAAATGTATGCGTAGATGAGACTGCACTGGCTGGCTTGTAAACACTGGCGCTGAGGCCACACGTGGGACGCGTCTCGGACGAATCACGTAAGGCGAGTTTTTTATCGTGAGGAGAGGCAAAATTTTTGCGTTCAAGTGCTTCATATGGCGGATTTAACGTAACACGATGTGTTCGTAAGGCGGGGGTCCAATGCACTCTACAGCAAAGCACTAGATATACAGTACTGTATAGTAAAGTACCAGAAATACAGTACTATACAGTAAAGGATTAGAAATACAATACTGCATTTCTAATCATTTAAAAATACCAGGAATACAATACTGTATAGCAGAGCACTACACACATGTATCAGCAAAATATGTACATTATTACTACAGCATTCAGGGATTCACACATTCAACCCCATTACATAAATAGAGACAGCTTACACCAATTAAATATTCAAACCCAAAGCATATAGAGTGGAACCTCGGTACTCGAACTTAATTCGTTCCAGAAGGTTGTTCAAGTGCTGATCTGGTCAAGTATTGAACGAACTTTTCCCATAGCGAATAATGTGAATTAGATTAATCCATTTCAGACCCCAAAAAATACACTTACAGCGAATCTGCAGTGTATTTTTGTATGGTATTTATAATTGTATTCTCGTTTTCTTGGTCTTATTTGACAGAATGAAAGATATATTACAAAAATAGAGATGGTTTTGAATGGTTTACAGACTAAAAGTACCTTGAAATTGAGCTCAAAGTAGCAGAATTGTTTGATTTTTGCTGATGTTCAAGAGTAAACAAATCACATCATGCATCACTGGTGGGTCTAATATGCTTTCACAATGTGCTATTATTTATACCATTTTTTCAATAATGCAGTAGTCTGCATAACACTAAATCTTCTATTTTTGTGTGTGAATAAAAATTCAAAATGGAAAGCAAGTGTAATATAAGAGGGGTCTGAAGTGGGAGGAGCTATAGGTGAGAGGGAGGGGGACAGTAGGAGGAGGATTCAGTATCTGAAGAGTCATCTTGATAACTGGATACTAGTGGTGGTGCAAATACAATGTGTAATTATGATAATATTAGTAATAAAGGTTGTTTATCCACCACATTTATTCCAACTTCATATCAGAAACACAATAGACAACCTAGAAGCACAATAAAGATGCAGAAATTAATAACAAAAGGCATATTATATGGAGAGGCAGAGGCAGTGTTTACATCAGGGCAAACACACACTAACCAATTTTCTTTTCGGTTGGCTGTTATCACTAATCTTCTTAGGCCCCATGGTGATTTATTTATACAAATATAAAAAACACCCAAAAATGCTAAGAAACATGAAATAGTTTACAGTGAAGTTCAGTGGAGTTTTGGACTGAGCGACAGCTGCGGGGAGACTGACGCACCTGTTCTGGCAAGTCGTGTTTGTTTGGTCGAGTGTTCGAGCAAAAGGTTGGCTACCAAGTGATTTTTTTACTGAACAAAGCGTTTGAGTATGGAGTTGTTTGAGTACCAAGGTTCCACTGTACTACTCAGATCAATACCATTATATCCTTGGAGTTGCATTAAACCCACATGGGTTTGAAACTAAGAAAGAAATGGTAATTTCAATGCCATGGCTCAAGAGCCCTTTGCCAGCATCAAGACACTCGGCATTCTACATACCGTGGGTCAGAATAAACAGGCTGAGTGGCACTACACATGGCACCAGTCTAGTGCCACATCCTTCACAAAAGGGGTGAGGTGTCTTGATGCTAGTGAAGAGCTCTTGATCAAAAGAATTAGAACTGCTCTCCCTTTACCCAGATCAAACAAATGACCACCACCCTTTCCACAGGCATTTGTTCAACAGTGCCTTCAAACTTCACAAAATGATAAACTAAACTAAAAACATTGGAAACTGGACATCACAAACACAGCTCTGCTCCTGGAAATACAAATGGGTTGTAAGAGAAGTGAATGTGAGGGTCTTGGCAGGAGTTGTGAAGTTAAAATATAAGGAATCAAACACAAAGTGGGAGTTGTCACAGTTGCTCTTTGCTGATGACACTGTGCTTTTGGGAGATTCCGAAGAGAAGTTGCAGAGGATGGTGGATGAATTTGGTAGGGTATGTAAAAGAAGAAAATTAAAAGTGAATACGTATAGGAAAGAGTAAGGTGATGAGGATAACAAAAAGATTAGGAGACGAAAGATTGGACATCAGATTGGAGGGAGAGAGTGTGGAGGAGGTGAATGTATTCCGATATTTAGGAGTGGACGTGTCAGCAGATGGGTCTATGAAGGATGAGGTGAATCATAGAATTAATGAGGGGAAAAGGGTGAGTGGTGTAATTAGGAGTCTGTGGAAACAAAGAACTTTATCCATGAAAGCAAAGATAATACATAAATGAGTGTCTCACAAGAAAATGACAGAACTTCCTGTACAGAGTGAGAAAACTAAAACGTGAGAATAATGATAAATTCACCAGTGCTTTGTACGTGATGGACAAATTCTAGTAAGAAAAACAAATGCAGGCCGCGTGTACTACATTACAAATGAAAATGAACTAGCAAACTTCCTTCATGATGCAAACATTACAGAGTCTGACTGATATTAGTGACCAAATCCTTACAACGTTAGTGTATGTTATCATGTCATTATTGAACTAATCCCTGTACTATCACCTCCTAGATAGTATTTACTACCTCATTATCCCAGGTGTCCCACACAGCTCTTTGTGTGACCCAATTTGTGTTATCTTCCCTGATTCCCAATTCACAAATTATTTGTTAATAGGATACTTACTCTTTAATAATATCTGTATTACCTTTTTCTTTCCTACTTAAGCACTGCTAAAATTCTCTTATAATCATACCTAATTTTCCCTTTTCTCCCAAACTACAAATAACAAACTTGTGTATGTTCCTACTACACTACTGTGCAATTCCTTGAGCCATCCCTCACTAGCTAGTATCAACTATCTCAAATAATATTCCTATAGTGATATTAATTGCTCAAACTTTATGCTATAAGGCAAATCCTACTCTCAGATTATTTTCATATCTTAGTGACTATACTGTGTGTGCAATTAGTGTATATTTCAATTACATTATTATTCAAGGCCCAAAACTATCTTTTGCTGCTACTACCAACTACCTCATATTATTTTTACTTTTTATAGTACAATAAATTGCTCAACTTATTATATATAACAAATCAGATCTTACTCCCAAATCAATATTATATCATAGTGACTATCTGTCAATTTAATTTTGTTTACCATTATTTAATTTAGTCCCTTACATATTTTCTCCTTTATTTTAACTTTATATAACAACCTTAGTTTATATATTCACAATTTTTAAAATAATTAAGGTGCTATTCTCAGGTGCTAAAGTATAATAAGTTCACTAATTTGCCATTATATTCCCTAGCTCATTTATTTGATTACCACTTTATTTGTTCACCACAAATTTTTTTAGTCCCTTTTATATTGTCTCCTTTATTTTAGCTTTAAAGAACTACCTTACCTCAATTTTTACATTTGTTAAAATAATTCAGGTGCTATTTTATAGCTTTAGAATATTTACTTTGTCTTATATGTAATTCTAACTATAGATTCACTATAAATCTTATGATAACAAGCACTGATCCTGATACCAACCTCTTATTGAATGACTTAAATGAATCGAACAGTAACTGTAATTACTACACAGAAGAACAATCAAAGGCACTTCTCAGAGCCAACAACAACATAACTGTCTTTAACTACAATATCAGATCATTAAGCAAACATTACGATGACATAGCATTACTAAATTCCCTGCATGCCAGTATAT